ATTACATTTATATTTATATACTAGGGCTTAAAATTATATTCCTGAAAAAAATACCTTTTATTGCTGCCATTTTCACAAAATAAACACTTGCAGAAAAGTTAGAAAAGACAGATGGGGGAAAAAAAGAAAATTTAGGAACCTATCATTAATAGAGAACAACATTCTTCTAGTCATCTTTCAGTGACACATATTTTTCACGCTATAAAAACAGTGGTATAACTTTGTACGTTTATCTCACATCCTGGAAATATTCTAAACTCACTTATCTAGGAGTTCTTTTGTAGATTCCACAGGGCTTTCTACCTATCCATGTCATTTGCCAATAAAGACAGTTTTATTTCTTCCTTTCTGATGTCCATGTCTTTTATTTCTCTTTCTGGCCTTACTGTACAGTCTAGAAACCTCCAGTACAATGATAGAGTGGTGAGAGGGATACTCTTGATTGCCTTTGATTTTAAAAATGAAGCATTTAGTTTTTCACCACTAAGTATGCTATCAGTTATAGGACTTTATCATAGATGCCCTTCATCAGGTTAACAAAGCTCCCCACTATTTCGTCTGTAGAGAGTATTTACCAGGAATGGATGCTGGATTTTGCCCAATGTTATTTTCTGCATGTATTGAGACGATAGTATGGTGTTTCCTTTTTAGTCTGTCAATATGATAAGTTGTATTGACTTATTTTCAAATATTAAACCAACAATGCATTCCTGTAATATACTCCATTGAATGATGTATTCCCCTTTTTATATATTGTTAAATTCTATTCACTAACATTTATTAAGAATTTTTACATCTATGCTCAAGAGAGAGTAGACTAGTTTTCATGTCCTGTCTGGTTTTGGTTTCAGAGTAATGCCGGCTTCATATGTTAAGTTGGAAAGAATTCTCTCTTCAATTTTCTAGAACAGTTTATATAAAATCAGTAATGTATCTTCCTTACAAAATGTTTGGTATAATTCACTAAATCCATTTAAGCCTGGAGTTTTCTTTGTAAAAAGTTTTTAATAACAAACTAAATTTATAGATATACTACTATTCAGGTAATCTCTTTTTTTCCTTGAGTGAGCTTTAGTAGTTTGTCCTTTTCAAGGAATATGTCTATTTCATCTAACTTGTTGAATTTAGTAACATAAAGTTGTTCATAGTATTTCTTTATTATCTTTTAAACATTTGTAAGATTTGAAGTATTGATACCTCTCTCATTCCTGATACTGACTTGTGTCTTCTCTCTTTTTATCTAGTTAGAGGTTTATCAGTTTGATGACCTTCTAAAAGCCAGTTTAGGATTTTTATTTCTTCTATAATTTTCCTATTTTTCAATTTAATTGGTTTCTATTCTTCTCTTTATTATTTCCCTCCTACTTAACTATGGTTTTAATTTGCTCTAGTTTCTTAAGATAGAAGATAAAGT